GAGTGGCTACCAGAAGGAGGCAGAAGAATTCTATCCATTCCTTTGGGATTTTTCCCTATTTTCTCTCTTTTTAAAACCGAGAAATATAATATAGTTATAAAAGTACACAAAACATATGTGTAAAATATATCAAATTGTTATAAAGCAAATACCCATATAATCACTGCTTGGACTGGATTCTCAATCCAATCTAATCTTGGATTAGAATAACTATCCACACCCATAAAAGCCCTGTTTCATCAATAGAAGAAGTAGTTTTTATGGACTATCCTTTTGTACGTTTTGAGTACTGAACCATGTAAATATATTAGCTATTTAACAGATACTTTCTCCCTCCCTCCCCACTCCTCACCAAAATGTCATGAACATCTTCAACTGTTTTATGGAAAGATTGACCTTTCTATAGCCAAATAAATTATAACAGCTAAACTTACTGAATTCCATGTTTTATATATATTAAGTAATTGATCTACACATATCATGTCATTTAAGCCTATGAAAGTTACTATTGTTGTCTTTATTGTGCAGATAAGAACACGTAGGCACAGAGGCACAGAGGCAATAAGCAACCTTTTTAAAGTGATATTGTGGCCCTGGCTGGTGTGGCTCAGTGGATTGAGTGCTGGCCTGGAAACCAAAGGGTCACTGGTTCTATACTCAGTCAGGGCACATGCCTGAATTGCGGCGCCAGGTCCCCAGTAGGGGGTGTGGAGAGGCAACCACACATTGATGTTTCTCTCCCTCTCTTTCTCTATTCCTTCCCCTCTGTCTAAAAATAAATAAATAAAATATTTAAAAAATAAATAAAGTTATATTGTAAATATAAGCTGAGAAGCTGAGATTCATATGTAGGCAGATATATCCCAGAATACGTTCTTCACTGTTACACTATTCCACCTCTCTAAATTCTATAACTCAGTCTTTGAGGTATTGTGATCACTGACCCCTATCAAGTAGAAGATTTTTGGCTATGGGCCACCAAATGGGATCTCAAGAGCTGACTCAGTTATGCTACTACCCAGACAAAGATAGACACAGTTGAGAGCAGACAGGCTGAAGTTAGTCTAGGGTCTGGGGTATCACCCAGCTGGCAAACCCTACCAAACATTTATATGACTTTCTTAGGATATCTGAGAAGTAAAATTCTGGTCAATGCCACTAGTCTGACTCCAGAGCTTCCCCAGTGCCTTAGACCTCAGTAAATATATATATTTTAAATAAATGAATAAGATTTCTCCACTCATAAACTGAAAAAGTCTAAGAATGTATCCAACAGAAATACTTGCAGTAGTGAACAATTATGTATACTGCAGTACTGTTTGTAATAGCAAAAGTCTGCAATGAACTCAAATGTCTATCCACAGGAGACAAGTTAAGTGGATTATGTCAGAAAGATGGCACAGCATGAAAGTAAAGGGTACAGGCTCTGAGCCAGGATGCTCAGGTTTGCATCCTGGTTCTGCCACTCATCAGCACAGGTTTGTATAAACTCCCTGAACCATACTATGCTTCAGTCCCTGCATTTGTAAAACAGGGATAACAAAAAGACCTACATTATAGCCTTGTTGCAAGAAGCTAGTTTATAGTTTTTGGCATGCAGTGAGTATTCAAATCTTATTTATTATTGTAGCCACTCACACAATGGAATATTATGCAACTGTTAAAAAGAGGCAGATTTTGCTGTGGCCAGTGAGGCTCAGTTGAAGCATTGTCCCATACACTGAAAAATTGCCAGTTCGATTTCCAGTCAGGGAACATACCTAGATTGTGGGTTTGAACCCTGGTCAGGGCACATACAGGAGGCAACTGATCAATGTTTCACTCTCTTTCCCCAGCTTTTCCTTCTCTCTAAAGAACAATGAACATGTCCTCGAATGAGAATTTTTTTTAAAAGAGGTAGATCTCTATGCACTCATTTGAACAGAAGTCAGAAATATATATTTTAGGGAAAAGTGTCAGAATATGTTTGTTAGTACTCCAGTTTTGTAAAAAAAAAAAAAGTTTGAAAAATTGTGTGCAGTGAAAAAAAGCCTGCGAGGACACATAAAAGTGTTTAGTGACATTACTTCTAGAGAGCTGACTTTATATACTTTGTGTGTGTACGTGTTTACATGCCCACACATGTGTATAGAGAATATATATTTATAACAAGCATTTATTATTTGGGGGAGAAAAATAAATATGGAAGATCCTAAGTCAGGACAGAACAGGATGGTAGGAAGAATACATCCCTTCCCATGGGCTCTCCAATTCAAGGTAAAGCTTGTAATGGCCCTCTCTCTCACAGCACTGCCATTCTACCTGACAGCATGGCATTGACAGATGAGACATATATTTTATTGGTACCAAACCTTGTTATGTGTTCCTAAAATAATTCCTGCAATGTAGTAAAAAAAAAAAACATGGTTCTTGCTTCAGATGCTGTCACTTAATGAATAAATCATGGAAACTCAGATTGTCAAATTGGAAGGATCTTAGAGATTATCTAGGCCAAGCCCCTCATTTACAAATGGAAACGATGAAATGTGTCCTGAGAAGTTATTAGCTGTCAAACAATTTTGAGAAATAAAATTCATTTTCCAGTGACAAAAATCAGAGACATATCCCTTGAGGAGAAGTTTATTTTAAGAGCCAATTAATGCACTACATCTGAAATCTTCATATACCGCTGGTGGGAGTGCAAGTTAGTAAACCATTTGGGAAAGAAATTTGACAATATCTCCCAAAGGTGAAGATTCTTAGAACTTCTGGTGGGACAATTTCCTCCTAGGTCCAAACTGATAGCAACAATCACATAAGAATAACTACACAAGAATGATCATAGTAGCCCTAACTGTGAACCAAAAACTGGTAGTGACCTAACTGCCCATATACAGCAGAACAGATAAATAAATCATGGTATATTTATTAAATGGGATCTATACAATAGTAAAAAAATGAATGAACTATAGCCACATGGCACAACATGGATGAATTTTACAAATATAGAAGAACTAAATAGAAAAAAATAGAAAAAATTGGAGAATAATAGAAACCATTGATATAAATTTTAAGACATATAAAGCAGTGGTGTATGCTTTTTAAAGACACAGTCATATATATAGTAAAATTATAAATAAATGCATGAGAATAATGAACACCAAATCCAAGAGGCAGGTTACTTTGGAGAGAGGAAGAGGAGTTTAATCCACAGAAGGATAGGCATAGAGGGTTTTGACTCTACTAGTAAACTGTTTTCTAAAGCTGGGCACCTGGTAACCTCATTTTCATTATATTATTCTTCATATCTCTTTGAATGTATAAAAATTTTCATAACGCATTGTTTAAAAGAGTGCAACAAATCCCATGCTGTAAGGAAAATTCATAATTTTCAGAAAGAACAAAATACTAAATGAAATGTGTAAGATATAAATGCTATACTCAAAATCACAGGATTATTCCTTAAACCTGCCTCTTTTTCCTAGGACTAGTTTCATGGGAGGGAACCAGCTAGAGAAGCAGTAGTTGGGCAGTAAACTTAGTATCAGGAGATAAGGATTCCACTCTTTCAGATACTCATTAGCTTTGGGAAAGAGAACAATTTGATTAACCTCTCAATCTTTTTCACATTTAAAAATACAGTGTTGGGTCCTGGCGGGGTGGCTCAGTTTGTTGGAGCATTGATCCATGCACCAAAAGATTGCGGGTTAATTTCATGGTCTGGGCACATACCTAGGTTGTAGGTTTGATCTTCAGTTAAGGCGTATATGAGACAGAGCTGATTGATGTCCCTGTCTCACACATCAATGTTTCTGTTTTTCTCTCTCTCTCTCCCCACACCCACCCACCCGCTGCTTCCTCTGTCTCAATTCAATAAATTGTTCCAGGGGTGAGGATTAAAAAAAATTAAAGGTGATTTACCTAAGAACCTTTCATCTAGAGGCAAGGATTCCTTTGGTGAAGTCAGGAGCTAAGGTGAACTAGACATAGGGCTTTTTAAAGGCATTTGTTCTTTTGAACAATCAAACAGAAAACATAAGAGAAAAGTATGTTCTTTCTCAGATAGCATCCACCATGCTCTCAGTGGAAGCAGGTAGCTGCCACTGCTGCCATCCATCTTTCTCTACTTCACTCCACCCCAGCCCAGTCCCAGCCCAGCAACCTGCTTGGACCCAATACCTAGGTGGCCTGACTTCATCTGCCTATGAAAGGCAGAATAAGCCTTAACTCCCCACAGTGTCTCTGGCCCACTTACCAGGCTGGGACATTGGGTGTGATGCTGGGTAGAGTTAAGGAGAGCAGAAGGAACGGGGTGCTTGACTTCAGGAGAGGTAAGCCCGATTTCAAAGCACTCCAAGCTATGCTCTCAAGAGTAGAGAGACACTTTGTGATTATAGGGGATAGAAAGGAAACTATGGAAAGAGCAGGAGGAAAAATGCAACACAGAAGACTGATCCAGGAGGTAAATGCAGAGATGAGGATCAGCTTTCCACCCCAGAGGCATGTTCCTAGGTCAGAGGCATGTTTATTCCACAGAGGTACTCATATATCCTGTCTGCAAACCAGACATTCATTTGTTCAGAAAACCTGCTCCAAGGTTCCACATTTCCTCTTTCCTCCTTTTTCAGCCAGTGCTTTCCACACCCCTTCCGTTCCCTCTCACCAGGAAATCTACCCATGGACAAAAAAACATGTCATTGAGAACAAACAAGCAAGTACATAATACCCTTCTCTTGTTAAAGAAGCAAACTGTGGACCTTCTTCTGATTCATTAGTTGCTCAAATTAGCTTGAGTTTTTATTCCTAGGCATTTTTCCCCTCTATGAATCCAAGTGGTAGCTACTTCATTATGGGTATATTTTAATGTAAGTTCCCCCCACCCAAAAGCATATGCAGGCAGCAGGCAGCAGACATGTGCATGCACACACACACATTACCTCTGGAGCTTCCCCTCCCTCAGTCTTTCCCCCTCAGCCAGCAGAAAAAGGGCAAGGCTTAGAAATCATTTCTCTGTGGCCTACCTTGTGAGTCCGTCAGGTCTGAGGAGCAGGCAGCAACTGGGAGCTAGGAGGCCAGGGATGGGCTGCTTCTGTGAATCAGCAAAGAAGTCCCTGAGACAGGAATGCTGACAGCTGCTGTATGCACACTCTCCCTCTGTCTCTCCCACCTCCCTGCCCTCCTTCTCCTTCTCCTCCTCCTCCCCTCTCAGAGCAGCTCTGTGTTGCTATGCAATCATATCACCCCGACTAACAGTATCACTCCAACCTCAGCCTGAGATACCCTTGACTGGGCAAATGCAGAAAGAGCAAGGACAGTTTTGTCAAACTCCCAGAGCCTTGGCAGCTCTCAGAAATTTCAATTCATTAGAAGCAGAGGAGGAAAGCGGAAGAGGCTGAAAGGCAAACAGGGAGAGGGGGAGAGGCTTCCACTGAGGAGGAGGAGGAGACAAAAGAGGCTCGGAGATCAATACAAGCTGCTGCTGAGTGAGAAGCCTGGGCCCCAGCTTCCACAGATCCAGCCCAGAGCCAAAGCCTACTTCAGAGCCAGCAGCTGGCAAGCTCTCTTGGTAGCCAGTCCAGGATTCAGTCTGTGTTGGAGGTTGAAACATATCAGCCCTAGAGTCGGCAGTACCCAAGGTATAGTCTGGGACTCAGGGCAGTCTGACAATCACCCCTAAATTTCATCCTCACCCCCTCTTACAGCTACATGTAGAAAAAGCCTAAATGACAGGAACAAAATTAACTTTGAACAATTTCAGAAAATTCCGTCCCTCCCTTCAACAATTACCTAGTCAGTTTCCCTTCTTCTGTCTGCACTAGCCCTTTTCACTATTACACTGCTAGAGAAGAGAGAATAGGAGCTCCAAACACCTTGAGAGACCTGGGAGAAGCCACTAAAAAGACAGAGAAGATTACATCCCTTTATACAGTGCCCAGCACACTGTAGATTACCTAATAAATACGGGTGGGATGAGTAAATTGGATGGATGGATGGTTGGCAGTCAGAAAGCTCACATCTTAATCCTCCTATACAAACATTCATATTTAAAGCCCTAGAAGCTCCAGACCAGGCCATAGGATAAGAGAAGCATTCTTTCCAAAAACAGGATATATATATATATATATATATATATATATATATATATATATATATATGCGAGAGAGAGAAACCAATTGCTTTGGGAGTGGGTTGCTTAACTTTATTGATTTGCCTCTAAAAACTCTATAAGCTCTGATGGCACTAGGATTTAAAACAGAAAATACTTCCCAGCCCCAAGGACCTGAGATTAGTGTTTACAAAGTGTCTGCAAGGACTGAGCATTCTTATTCTTATTACTATTATTATTATTATTATTATTACTGAAAACCCTCAGCCATGAAATAATTAGTGTGTGTATATGTGAGTGTGTGTTTCCTTTGAGAGGAAAATTTTAAAACTTAAGCTGCAGGTTTCAGTAAAAAGTTAGTGATAAGGCCTGATCTCCTCTTCAAAACAAACAAAATGGGAACCAACTACTCCTTCCCCCATGCTTAGCTTCCAGAGATGCAAGAGTGGCTCCTCCTGCCTGGCCAAATCGGCAGCAGCCAGGCTCCCATGCAGGCGCAGAAAGGGCCTTTGATTTCTGAAGGGGCTTTTGGAAGCACATCCGGCTTCTCAATCTTCACACCCTCCACAGAGCATTTCTTAGCTACCCAGCCTCACTCAGGCTTGGCCCTGAGTATCTGCCCCAATCTTAACCCTGGCAACTTTCAGGGTTTCTTAACACCCAGAGCCCCAGGAGCCCTTTACAACTGGCTTAGAATGACTTGGAGCAGGGGCTTGGCTAGAAGACTAGAGAGAACACTCTGAGAAATTGTTTGGGCTGCCATAGACACAGAATGACTGCAACAGACCCACACAAAACACATATGAACATGGCTCATTGCTCACCCCTGGTACCAGCTCACCACACAGAACAACACCAGAATCTAAGTCTAGAGGAAGGAAGGAGAATAACCTGGGTGGGGTGAGCAACTGGATTTGACTGCAACTGGATTTGCCCAGAACACAAGCAACACTTGGAATAACTCTTTACTTTTCTCTAATGCTAGAGAAAGCATTCAGATTGTAAATGCAAAATTACAATATCAGCCTCCATGCAAATAAACCCACTGAGTTCATTTTGAGAGGTATAATAAAAGGTTTCCCAAAATCTCTCCTACTGACCACATCATTGTGGAAAAGACTTCCTTCCTTGTTACTTTGCTTAAGGCACTAAGGGCTCCTGTGAAAATGAGAATATTTCCTATAAGACAAAAAGACATCAATCCCTCATCAGCTAGCAGCACCTAAGCTTTAATTATTAGATTATAATAACAACAATAATAATGCCTAACATTATGGAGGCTTTACTACAGGCTAGGTATTGTGTGAAATGCTTTGCACACATTATTAGCATATTACATTCTCACAGAAAATTAAAATCACTTCTATTATTATCCCCATTTTACAGATGAAGCACTGTAATACTGTGAGGTTAAACAACTTGCCCAAGATCACACAGCTAATGCATTATGGAGCCAAGATTTACCCTGGATCTCTCTGGGCAATGTCTACATGATTAACCACTGTGCTATTCTAAATTCATCTAGTTAAGACAAATGTGACTAGGACAGAAGCATTCCCCAGATAGTTTTTCTATCCTTTGTACCTTTTGTCAAGTTATTTCCTCTACTCAGCATGTCTCCCTTGCCTTTAGAGGTCAGACTTCTCTCTCTGAGGAGTCCCAAGTGAGAACACTCTACGAAAATTTTGATTAAGGCTATGAATGGAGTACGAAAAGACAAATGACCTTGAGATGAGGTGGAGCTCTCCAATTTGCTAGGGTCCCCACACATTCTGCTGTACTTCTGAACTGATTTATACTTCCTGCTTAACTCCTGTGGCTTTTCAGTATGTGCTGCTTCATACGCCATTGAAGGTGTGTTTGTACTGTTGCTGGTCTTCTGGACTATTTGGAGGAGGGTTTTTTGGGTTTTATTTCCTGGAGGATGTGGGTGGGGATAAGTAGAGTCTCTAGTTGTATTTCAGGAGAGATAACCTTTTTTCTTACCATCATGACTGGATAGAAAAGACCATTCTGACCTTTAAACCTAAGGATGATTTATTTTCACCCAAGGGACATCTGGACGAACAAGGGAAAGCTCATAGTCTATTTTCAACTATTTTTCTGAGGAGAGCAAAGAAAGATCAAAGTAGTTGGGCCACAAGCTTTGACTGTGGCTCTACCCTGGTAACTTCTAAGAGGATGTTTGAGACCTACTATGGTATCACTGAGCAGGACTTTGCTAGGTGGACAAGGGTAGGTAGGACATTTCAGGTTGAGAGACAGTATGTGCAATAGCCCAATGGCTGGAGAATATGGCTTTCTAAAGGAGTGCAAGTACTAGTAAAGTGTGGCTATGTTAAGATAGGTAACAGTTAGGAAATGGGAAAAGATGGGAAGACATAAAGCTATGAAAGACAAAAGGAGGGGCTAGAATATCATGCTGAGGACGATTTAAGATTTTTCCTATTAAATTATATTTTATTGATTATGCTATTACAGCTGTACCAATTTTCCTCCTTTCCCCCCAACACCCAGCAATACCTATTTCCTCAGGCATTAGCCACACCATTGTTCATGCCCATGGGTCATGCGTATAAGTTCTTTGGCTACTCTATTTTCTATACTGTACCTTACATCCCCATGGCTATTCTGTAACTATCTATTTGTACTTCTTAATCCCCTCACCTCTTCACCCATTCCCCCACACCCTCTCCCTTCTGGCAACCATCAAAAACAAAAACAAAAACAATGTCCATATCCACGATTCTATCTCTGTTCTTGTTTGCTTAGTTTGTTTTTTAGATTTCATTGTTGATAATTATGTGCTTACTGCCATTTTATTGTTTGTCGTTTTGACCTTTTTTGTTAAATAAATCCCTTTAACATTTCATATAACTCTGGTTTGATGATGATGAACTCCTTTAGTTTTTTTCTTATCTGAGAAGCTCTTTATTTGCCCTTTGATTCTAAATGATAGCTTTGCTGGGTAGAGCAATCTTGTCTGTAGGTCCCTGCTTTTCATGACTGAATATTTCTTGCCAATCCCTTCTGGCCTGCAAAGTTTTTATTGAGAAATCAGCTGAGAGTCTTATGGGAACTCCTTGTGGGTAACTAACTGCTTTTCTCTTTTACTGCTTTTAAGATTCTCTTTTTATCTTTAAGCTTTGGCATTTTAATTATGATATGTCTTATTGTGGGCCTGTTTGCAGTCATCTTGTTTGGGAACCTCTGTGCCTCCTGCATGTCTATTTCCTTCACCAGAATAGGAAAATTATTTTTCAGTATTTTTTCAAATAGATTTCCAATTTCTCACTCTTTCTCTTGCCCTTCTGGTACCGCTATGATGAGAATGTTGGTATGCTTAAAGTTGTCCCAGAGGCTCCTTACATTATCCTTGCTTTTTTTAAATTCTTTTTTTTCTTATTGTTCTGATAGTTTTTGTTTGTTTGTTCCTTGGTGTTCCATATTATTCCTTTGATTCTTGGCTTCATCCATTCTACTGTTGATTCTACTGTAAGTTGCTCTTTATTTCCATTAGTATATCCTTCATTTCTGCCTGGGTCAGAATGGTTCCTTAAGGGTATCTTGGGAACTCACTAAGTTCCTTGAGCACCCTTATAACCAGTTTTGTTTTGTTTTGTTTTGTTTTGTTTTTCATTTGGGCCATGCTTCTTTGTCTCCTCATTTTGGCAGCCTCCATTGTGTTTGTTTCTATGTATTAGGTAGAGCTGCTTTGACTCTGTGTCTTGGTAGCATGCCTTGATGTAGTAGGTGTCCTGTAGGGTCCTGTGGCACAGCCTCCCACTCGAGCTGGGTACTCAAGGTATGCCCTACTTGTGGGCTGAGTACACACTCCTCTTTTTTAAATTATTGTTCAATTACAGTTTTCTGTGTACACACTCCTCTTGTACTTGAGACTTGATTGCTATTGGCAGGTCAAAGGAAGGAACTTAACCAGTTCAGTCATCTGCAAGGATTGTCTGTGACTACTGACCACCAAC